GGTATTTTTTCCTTAGTAGCAATGCTTTATTTATAATCAGACTTGAGAGTCTTTCCCCAGCCTCAAAACCCCAGGAAAGATTTCACTGCGGATGTTTGTTATTTCACTGAAAAATCATCTGATTTCTGGTTCTCAAATAGAGAGCAAGTGCTGCCTAATGGTTTTTGTATTAAGAGGATTCTCATTTTCCACATGCTGTCTGGCTCTGGTTGCTGTTACGAGATGTTTGGAGAGTGCTCTTTGGAATAAAAAAAAGGAATAAAAAACATCAGAGGGGGCTAAACCCGATGATAACTAAGACTCAGTGCTATATATGGCTTTTCCTCAATGTTTTCAATGGCAGGGAAACAACAAGTTACATGAAATCCCAACTTTTTAGAGACCCTTGGCCAAAACTCTGAGAGCTACAGTTTGTTCTGTGGGTCTGGAGCTGGGAGATGTGCACAAGGGCAGCTCCTCTAGACCAGCCACGTCTTCTGCTCTCTCCCAGCAGTCTTGGTGTTTGCAGTTAAATGATTATTCAGTAGAATTTGCTGCTTCAGTATGCAATACCCCTTGGTTTAAGCAGAAAACAGTTGCTAAACATCCAACAGATGAGTTGGGTAGAGGGCATACACACAGCAGACTTTAAATGTCAGTAACATACCTTGTTTCTGAAGTTAGGTACCCATGGCAGTTTAATCTTACTTTTTTCTGGACAAGATCAAGTAGGCATCTTGTCTGAATAGACAGAATGGAACAACCTATACACTTTTCAGATTTCACAGGAGAAAAAAAACCCTTGAACTGCTTATTTTTATTCCTTTTGTGTAGTAATTTATTTTTATTGCCACCTTTCTTTACACCCTTAGACTCGAACAGCTATTGGTTGGGTTAGGTGAACTAATGGTCTAATGGGTCAGAGGATCAGAGACCTTCTGAAGGGCTCAGACCACCCACCCTTCTCCTTTCAGATCCCACAAATTTTAAAAAGATATATTTCTTCAGGCTGTGGAAGGTTGTTTTCTCAACTCCCAAAGCTAGGAAGGTCCTCCTTCAAATTACACAAATTATATCCAAAATCCATTGAAGAATCCTGAAAAACCTGGAACATGAAAGTATTTTTTCTTGTCAAATCTGACATGTGCTGAATATATTACTTTGTGTGTGCCAATATAACTAGATAAGGGAAACTGTGAAAATGCCCTTTGCAACTGGTAAGGATATTTAAAGGGCTGTGGAAGCTAAACTGAAATCTTAGATAGTAAAATTCCTGCTCTTTGGAGTGAAAGAGATTCAGTCTAACTTTTTTGTCTAGAGGATGTTAGAAACTTACCTATGGTACCTAATACAACTTTAATTCCTGGAGAGAGAAAGTTAATCTAGAGAGTCAGCTTGTTCTTAGGATTGATGAGGGTGTATATTTATTTATTTATGTCTACATTAAGTTCACAGAAAACCTCTGTAGGTGCCCATCATGAGATATGAACAGGGTTTTCAAAATTTCCAGTCTTGGAAATGTAGATGAACTGTTCACTTAGGGAAGCAAGACTGGATCTTACAGGTCTTGACTCTTCTTTTATTTCACAGGATGCTTCACATTCAAAAGTAAATTTAATTCTCTCAAATAAAATTATATGCTTTGCAAATGTTTTAAATTCTGTTCTTTACAAATTCCTGTAAGGATTCATCTTTTTATTGGGGGGAAAATGATTTGCTCATCCATGAAGAAGAGAGGAAGAGCAGTGGCCTCAAGATATGGGAAAACTATGACAGAGTTTTAAATTTCTTGGGGTTATATATGGGCTTGCTCACATATCATAAACACCTTTACTTGCTTCTCTGAATGAATTAAATACCAAGTCCCAAATACTCAACCTTGAGAGGCCACAGGAATCACAACCACCCAAGACACAGAGTTCCTCTGGCAGAGTGGCAGTGTAGCTGCATTTAGCCTTACTCAAGTCCGTTTGCTCAATCTATAAAACCTAAATACATATATATATATATATATATAAAATAATCTGTTAACTTTAAATATAAAGTTTTTTGGTGCTCTTGAGGCTTTTTCAAACATTAAAGCCGTTAGACATTGTTGTTCATCAATAGACAAGGAGATAGAAAACGGGCACAGATTTTCTGCTGGAAGCAGTCATTTACAAGAGCAATTTCAGATAAAGAGAAACACAAGCAAGTGCTGAGATCACACGTGAGGCTAAGATTTACTCCATCGTGGATTTAGACATTTTTGATCCAAATGGTCAGACAAGCAGCACTGAATTGTTGCTTTGGAGCCCTGATTGATGTCTCAGTCGATCATGGCAGCTTTGTTCTGCAGCGTGCACAGCCCCGTTCCACACTGGAAGAGGGCAGATTGCATCAGGTTCACCACTTGCCCACCCAGTTATGTACCCAAACCAGCAACCAAAGGAGGGAAATCCGAGGCTGACTCCCACTGCTCTCCCCTCTTTTGGCTGGGAGCTGCTATTTTCTTCCTGCCCCTTGTATAGGGCAGAGGACAGCAATAACCAGGTCTTGCTTTCATTTCAGCAGCTGTACCATGTTTCCTCCAAGTAAAGGGGTTGTTAACAAACTTAGAAAGGGTTGGAAATTCAGATTGCAGGAATAGATAATTGAAAGATGGGGAGGTTTCTTCCCCAGCAAATAATAAGCATCACCCCTTGAAATAAATCACTTGATTATAGAATTACATTGTATTTTCTACCTTTTTTAGTCAGACATTATTACTCATAAACCAAATAATATGATCATTTTTTAAGAGCTGAGATCATGCCTAGAAATTGGTCCAAACATGACTAGACATTGTAATTCATTTTTTCAAGGTTTTTGCTAGCCAAGAGCCAACATCTGTACTGAAGTGAAAAGGATTTTAGAGAGAATGGGTTGTTCCTACAGAAACTGTTGCATCATTTTCAGAATGCTGCTGAAGTTAATGAAGGTGTGCACAGCCTCCTCTCTTTCAAAAGAGATCATCAGTCCATGCTTTCCAGTGTGAAATGCAAGGATGTAAATATGGGGAGTTAGCTATATTTTGTAAGAGGAAAAAACAGAGCTACCTGGTGAATTAAAGCAATATAAATTCTTCACTGTGGGCATTTCTGGGCTGGAGGCCTTTGGCACTGCAGACTGCACCTCTTAGCCTTCCTAACCCTGAGCACAGTTGAGGTTTGGGTCATTTGTATGCCACTGAAATGTTTTTGTGGTGCATTGTGGTGGTTTCTTTTAATAAACCTGTAGACCTCCTGTTTCCCTCTGACCAGCACTGCTGGGTTTGGAACCAAATTGGACTTGTGTGTGCACAGCCAGGGCACTGGAGCTGCTCCAGCACCAGGTCTGGAGCCATTCTAACTCAGGCCTGGTTTTTCCAATATGTTTTTATAATCATGCTTAATTATGGGCATGAGAAATAACTAATTACTGAAGTGCATGACTCTCTTCCTCCAAGAAAATGTGCCATGGCTATTTTGCTTATCAGATTTTGCAACCCATGCAACCCCTGCCAGCAGAAAAGGTGCCGAACATCGAAAATATTATTTCCTTCTCCTGAGTGTTTAGTATAACAATATAAGCATTGACTGTTGTGTACTTTGGTATTATTTTCCTTTCCTGCTTATAGTCCCTTCTCATGTTTCTCCATCATTTTAGGCCCCTAATAGGGATAGGATGAACCCATTGATGTCGGCACATGGAGCCTGCTAGTAGCATGCCTTTGGTTTTAGTCTCCTAGCAGCAGCCATTCATGTTATGTGGGCTTTCTTTTTTGGGCATTGCCCACCCCTGAATCTGACTTCAGGCATTTTTCACTGCCTGTTCTGCATGAATAGCCACAGGCCTCTTGCCAATTGTCCCCCCTCCTTGAAAGCCAGCCTCAGCCAAAGGCCTTTTCAAGTGTGATCCCAGAGTGCCACACAGGCTTTCAGGGTATTGTTGTCGAGATGAGGGCCCTGCACTGGAAAGTGGGGTCAGAAGAGAAAGCACAATAAGGGGTGATGGAGGCTTCATGCAGTCCTCAGATGCTGGCCTGTTTATTAATTTACAAAACTAATGTCACTGTCTTTAGAGGAGAGATTGAGTGAAAAAGATGCCCTTTGAAGAGAAGAACTGCTTTTGATGCATTACCAAAACACTGCTCCCCTTATTAAATTGATTTTATGGAAGAAAGTACAGCTAATAAAAGTTCAGAAACACCAATAAAATATTGAAGGTCTGGATTCAGTGTTTTCTTTTTTCCTCATCAGCTCAGACACAATTCATGTTAATGGGTTTTACAAGCTGTCCTTGGGCAAAAAAAAATCCTTAAATTTGCAAAAATCTGGTCTTCCTTATGCATGTCACACAAACTATTAGTCAAGACAGTACAATAGTGCAAGCTCTTTAGCAAAGCTCTCCTCATACATAACGTAATGAAATATTCAAGCAGAATTTGTTTACCTCTCAGTGTTTTTGGGGGAATCTAAAAGGGTCGGGGATCATGAATCTTGAATATAACACACAAAAGTGGCTTGATTTGTGAGAAGATTCAGAGCTGGGCTTGAATGTTGCTCCTGCAGTCAGTGTTGGTGCAGATTAGTGGATCTGGGCAAGCAGGTCTCTGATCTGTCCCTGTCATGTGAGATGGAGTCCTGTTGTCTGGTGGGATTTAAGGTTTGCCTTGCAGGGTTTAATCTAAGAGCAACCTTGGGAATAAATGTGGTTTCTAGATTCTTTATTCCTTCCTTTACCCTTCCTTTACCTGGTCAAAGGTGAGGCTGGCTGCATCCCCCTACAGCCATGCTCATGGTGGTTTCATTTTGCTGACCAGTGCCACTGCAAACTGTGAACTCCATCTCCTGCCTCCCCAAAAAAAAGAAGAGAGATGCTGCTCTCTCCATCTCAGACCAGCTCCAGAAGCAGTGTGTCACACCCAGCTGAATCCTGTTCTCTTATTACCCCGAGAAACCAAAGCAGGAACAAGTGGCTGCATCCACAGAGACCTTGTCCCTTCCACAAGGGTTGTTGCTGTGAGCTGCCAGAAATCCGGCATGATCATCACTGTGGATGCTCCTCAGGACTGAGGTCAGGGAATTCTGGGGCCACAGCCATGAAACTCTCCAGCTGGAACTAAAGACAGCTGTCATTAGGCTTGTGTCCTCTGCAGGCTGGAAGCAGAAGGAAGGCATTCCAGTCTGACCAGTGAGTTTCAGATCCATGCAAGATTAGGAGTCGGTTTTAAACCTGTGGCTGTGAACGTGTGATTGAATTTTAACTGCTTTCAATTAATGTAGATCAAAAGAGACTTTTGTAGTTGGACAGTCCTTCAAAAGTACCAGACTTCAAGCATAAATCTGTCCAGTCTGCCTTTGTTTTTCATAACTTGTCTTGCCATGTTTGTTAATTATGGAAGGCATTTAGGACTTGCTCTGTCTCATCCAGTTTCTTCACTTCAACAGGGCTCCAGCAGTCAAGTCAGCAATTTTACAATCCACTGCCTTGGACCTAGAAAGTCATTTATGGCCAGCAAGTGGGTGTAAATTGCTAATGGTAACATTTAAGTCTACCCTGTAGGCAAAGCAATGCAGATTGATCCATGGAACAAAAATAGTTATAATCTACTCACCTTCCTAGTAGCAGAATATAATTCAAAAGCTTCTTATCTCTTTTTAAAATGATAATCCAGGAGAAATAAGTTTATGATGAGGAATGCTCTTACCTGAAAGCAAATACCAGAACATCACCCTGTACAATAAGCACTGGTAAAATTTAATTGTATTTTATTTTGGTTTTCAGCTCTGCTGCAGACAGATTCACAGATTAATGAGTTCAACATTACTCTCCATGCTTCTATCAAATATATGTTCTCAGATTGATATATTTGGTTATAAGTATAATCATTAGGAGCATAAAAGTGCTGGTTTTTCCTGAATAGGACACTATTATTTGGTATAGGTGTATTGACAGCTAATTCTCTACAAATTATTTTTTGCTTAAGAAAAGCTTCATTGATTTTCAAACACAGAATTCAGTGAAGGATTAGGAGACTGGTTAGTGAATTATTCTGTGACTTTTTAAAAAGGGATTTTGTATCCTTTTGTACTTGCAATTGTCTGGTATGAAGATACTGCACACCTTAGTAGAAAGGTGTGAAGGGCTTTTGCAGGCTTCATCCTCTCACTAAAATTAGCTGCTTTGAAAATGGTTCCTTGAATTAGGTCAAGAAGTTAGATCACCCAGCCTTTTACAGTGCTTTTCAGTCTCACAGTCAAGGTAGGTAAATAGGCCAAATATCTTCTTTTAACGTTGTCATGTCTTTCTTCTCTTTATTAATTAAGAATGTGAAAAAAAGGCTGCTAAATTGACGTTTCATCAGTCAAAGCTGAAAGCTACTAACTGTGACTGAAGATTCTCTAGGAAACACAGCATCTTTGCAAAAGAGCATACCTGGGGTGCAGGAATAGGCATCAAACAGCTCTGCAGCCTGTGGTGATAAATCCAACACCCCCAGACAGTTTGGAACTTGCCTGTACAAGATCTGTTTATTTTGGCTTCAAGTGGACGAGAGGATTTGTCCTCTATATGTAAACAGGCACAGATAACAGGATGTCAATGAATGTATTTCAATATTTACCTTTTAAAAATTAATCAAATTAACCACAGAAAAGTACTGAGAGAGAAATGTGACAAGTAGCAGTAAGGTTCTCATAAACTACTTCCCTTCTCCTTCCTTGTGAACAGCAATAAGCAGTCAAAGTACCCAGGAAAGCTTCTCTGGCAAACTTGCCACTTCCATGGCAGGAATAAACACAGCCATGACCAGGTCAAGAAAACCCCCAGTGTGGGGAAAGGTTTTATGATGGCTTAGAGGCACTAATGGGTAAAAAAAGGTGTCTGGGAAAGATAGGGGATTGAGTAATCCTCCAAAGTTCAGCATTTTGGTTCAGATAACAAGCTGAATGGTTTATCTGGAGTTTTCTGAATCTCACTGAGGTAAAGCTCAAGCGACAATCTTATGAAAGCAAGGCTTAATGTGACATTTTGAACTTCTGCTTCTGGTCCATTTAAGAATCAAACAAGAAGTGCAAGAATTAAATACTTCCTTAAAAAAGAAGTTAATTCAACATGTTTTAGAGTTAACTGAGTTTTGAATTAGTTAAGTTCAGATTTAGGTGTGATTTTGGACCATTTAATGCTTATTTTAAACCATCATCTGTTCTCTAAATAGTCAGGGAAATGTTTGTAGCTACCTAGACAATATCTATATCAGATTCCAAACACAACATGAGGTTAGCATTAAATGCAGTTACTAAAGCAAATTTCCACATCCTTATATTTTTTCTCCTTTTTTTCCTCTTATTTCCTTCACACCTATTTATCATCTAAAGGATAAAGGGAAAGAAAGAATGGGCAAATCAAAACAAATTTTTAGAAAACAAAACCAAACAAATCTGTCTTCCCTAAACAGACACTTTTCTTTTTACTCCACAAAATAGCTAAACTGCCTGAGGAAATCAGGTTAATGAAGAGCAGTGACATTGTGATGACTGTGGACAGAGACTTCAAACAAAGTGGTCAAGCTAGGAGGAAAAGACTCTTGGTGTTTTGCAATGGAAAGAGTACAGGATTGCTGAGTTAGGTTTTGGAGACCACGTGAAATCCTTCTGCAACTTTCTCTGTAGATTCTGCTTTTGCTAAGTAAAGGTCATACTATTTTACTATTTTACCCTGGATGTAATGAATGTGAAACCACAGTGAACAGGGAATGTCCACATCTCACCACAATGCACAGCCTTGCTGCAGATGTGGGGTAGTTGCTTCTTCACTTGTAGATAATCTGGTATGGGTTGCGATGTCTCAAAGTTCTCTGTAGCATTTGTTTGTCTTTCTGCCTCTTTTCAGCAATTTTAGAAAGGTTTGATTTTAGCACAGGGCTTTTGGAAAGGCTCAGCTTCCCAAAAAAAAAGCCTCAAGAGGTAGATGAATTTTCAGGGGGTAATCTGGCTCTGGATCTTGCAGTGGGAGGTCACAGATATAGACTGCTCTGTAAAATTTAGTTACTCAAATGAGAGCTGTGTTCTTTTGAAATCCTCACCTCAACTGTAATGCCTGGAAGGCTGAAAAATACCTTAATTCTGCTTTTGAGTCCCTTTAATTTGCTTCTACTCGTGGATGTCATCTCCTGAGTCCTGCCTGTGTCCTTCTGTCTGTCTTGCTCCCACTGAGCCTGGGTCTGCAGAGGGACCTGGGCAGAGTTTTGTTACCTCAGAATCCCTCATGCACGAATTGATTTCATTGCTTGAAATTACAACAGCGAGCTGCTTCACCTCAAAGAAACTTTGTTTTCTGTTCTTTTTCTTTGCAGAGTAGTCTGAAATGGCCAGAGGATCCACAGGGATGGAAGTACTCTGAAGGTAGGAAGGTATGGTTTCAATTAATATTCAACTTCAGCAGAGTCAAAATGTTTCACAAAAACTCACTAATTTCGACAGGATTCAGACTTTAAAGTTCTGGCCTGGGAGAAATATGACATGAAAACCTGTGGGATTTAAAAAAAAAAATACAAATCAATTTTTTAAAAGTCTGAAAAATTTTTGGTTTTACTTTATCACAAAACAAAAGCAATGCTGGGGATTCAGAAATAGTGTAGAAACAAATTTGTCATTCACTGGCTATTTCCTTGAAATATAAACATGGAAACCAAAGAACCCATCTGATTACCTTGGTATTATTGCTGTCTTCCAAGCTCTTCCACTCTGGACGTGTGACTGATCTGTAACGCTTTAAATGGCAATAAAGTGTTAGGAATAAGATTTCTGTGTGGTCTCTGTGCCAGCATCAGAGAAAAGATCCAATGCAGCTAATCTGTTCAAGTTTAATGAATGTCCTGCTGACTTTTAAGGGAGCTGGCTGCCTGACTACCCTCTGAGATTTTAAAAATCTCCTCCTATTTTTGTAGAATTTTGTCAGGAAACCAGATTGAGTGAGCCCATATAGAAAATGCCATTGCCGTTCCTACAGGTTTCCACAAGACATTTGACCCCTTCCCTCCCCTCCCTTTCTTTCTTCTTTTTATACCTCTCTGGAATGCAGATATTTTGGTTAATTTTCTCCAGCTGTCACAGAGTCTCACAGGAAAATGACCTCGCAGAGTGACCACTTCCCCTATTCCTTGACTTAAGTAGATTTTTTTTCCTTCAGAGCTTTCACCACATCATCCACATCACTGTCTGGTGTCTTTCATGAGTCAGGAAAAAAGAAAAAAAAATTTCCACCATCTAGAAAAAAAAAAAAAGGGAACCAAGTCAGATCAGTTTGGGTTGTTTTTATCAATTTACATTGGTGTTTCAGAGCAGTTAGTGCAGCAGAAATTTGACATTACTTATTCCTACTAAAAAGTAGGGAGATATTAAAATTTGGAACTTTTTCTTCTAAGAATGATTTTCATCACAAAATTATTTCCTTCATTTGGTAATGACAGTAGTCTCAGAAAATTGGATTGTCAGACCTCTTAGTTCTTTTGTTCTTTTCAGTATACAACTCAGAGGGGAAAATTTAATTGCAGAAACTGTGTACTAAATTTAGTTTTCTGTAATAGTATAAGGGGAGAAAAAAACCCCAACAAAGCAGGAAAGCCCTGTATGGTAAATATCTATGTCTCATTAAATATGTAAATATGTACATGAGATGCAAATATCTCAAAAGATAATGGTTTATTAAATACCTGTTAAGCATGACTTTCTTTTTTCTTCAAGATCCTCCTCTGTTTTTTGGATACCTGTCTGGGGCTTGTAGAATACCAAGGATTTCCAGCTTTTCTGCACTGTAACATCTCTTCATATCCTTTATCTTATGTTTTGGATGAGTATCCCAAAATCTTGGTGTTTTCTGTAGTAGTCTGAGAATTTTTCTCCAGGAAATTGTAATGAACATGTTCTTTTTGAATGTCCCTGTGTTTACATGACTGCTTCATCAAGATTTTCCAACGTGAGCAGTTTGTAGCTGTGCTTCATTTCTTGAATTTTTTAAAGCTGGTATTACCACTTTATTTTTATAACATAGACTTGGCAATTGTTTAATTTCAGAATTTTGGGACTGATTGCTTGGTAAAAGCCCCAGCAATTTAGGTGTTTTATAAAGAAATTCAAGATAGATCTTTTGTTTGTGGTGTTAAGTAGGCCATCTGGTATAAATATATGCCTGATAAAGGTCTAAAAGCAGGTTACTCTTGTGCAGTGGCAAGATTTTGGGCTTTTTTTGTCCTGTGTGCAGAATATCCACCTGGCAGAGTGATGACCTGAGAGATGTGAAAGAGCAGCCCCAGGTGTAAAGAGCCAAGTGTGGAGTGTGGAGGTCACTGTGGTGTGGAGTGGGGGTGAATGGGAGCTAGAAAATAAGATTTCATCATGTCTCAAAGGAGAATGAAGGACCTGAATTAGGTTGAATTAAATGAGCAAATCCATAGATTGCTGATGAGCACTTGGTTTATAATGCTATTGATGGTCCTGCTGTTGTGTAAAAACTATAAATCCTTACTCTTTCTGTATGTTTGTGACTATACATTGCAGGGATGCCTCAGCCTTAAATGGGATCATCCTAGCTTGGAATGGGGCTGTGTATTCCTCCTGATATTCCTGCTGACATATGGGAAAAGCAGCTTTGAGGATGCCCTCAGCTGGATCCCACACAGGAGATTCCCAGCCCTGCTGCCCAGGTTCTGTGTGTGGGCAGCTGTGCTGCCCCAGCTGCTGCTGATCCAGGTTACCCTTCCTGCCCATCCCAACCACTTCACCCTAAAACCTCCAGCTGGAAGGAGGCTCTGCCAAAAGATGTGGCAAATCTGAGCAAGTGGAAGGGGAGAGGGATGGTGGCTCAATCTCTGCAGGAATGGGACAGGTCACAAACTCCGAACTGGAAGAAGCCATGGCCTGGGGCTGTGCATCCAGCTGTGCTCTTGGAGGTGCTCAGCCATGGGCTGTTCCCACTTACTGGTGATCCCATCTCAGCTGGGAATATGCTTTTGGAGCAGCACTCCAAGCTGTGAGCCTGGAAACTGAAGTGGCCATCTTGACTATATTGTAACTTGGGAATAAGGGGGAGTAGGAAAATGCCTCAAAATTGTATGCAGCATTCTTTGGCTTGTATGTATGCTGAAAGACTCTGTGAACAATCCCACTTATTTCAGTGGAAAATCTTTCAGAATAAGCTTTGGCCGAGATTAGGAAAAAATAATGGCATCTTTTCCTAAATGATTCCTTTTTGCCAGAGCTGAATTTTTACAGCTAAAACCTTTGGAATTTAAGAAATCTGATAAACAGGTTTCCCAAATCTTTCTAATCTTAATCACCAAAGTAAAGGAGAATGGTTCTAATAGTATAGTAATCTTATCTCCATGCCCTGTTTCAAATGCTTGCTTTGCACAGGATGGAAAACACTAATAATAATAATAATGATAATAATAATAATAATAATAATGATATGGATGATTGGTGTAATATCTATTTTCTTGGAATTAGCACCTGTCAGATAGTATGGCTTGATTACTTTGCTTCACCTCTCAAAGTGAGACAAAATTTCCAATTTACAGATTTTTTTAAAGGTCTGCCAATATAAAACCAAGTGGTCTTTGTAAATTGTTTAGCCTGGAAGGTGACCATCATGTTTATGTCATTAAAATTATTTCTTTGTACCTGCTATACACATATAATTACATAAACATCTCCCTATTAACTTAGATGGATTCTTTACATTTTAAACTCTAGAAATTCTAGGAGGAAAAGAAGGGATGAACCAGAGAATGAATCCCATATTCCAACTGATCAGTGTTTCCTCACATGTATCTGTTTCAGGAAAAGACTTCAGCATATGTTTAGCTTTAAGCCTGTGCTCAGGTCTCACTGGGTTTAAATATGCACTGGTTGAGGATGCTTTCTTAAATGGAAGCAATATGTTATCCCACTGAAATCCACTTGATTTGCCAGCTATATCCCTCCTTTGCACAGAGGTGATTTCTACAGGCATCTGTAAAGACAAGGGACGCTGAGGTCTTTAGAGCAGCTCCTACATCCAGAACGTATTTAGATCTCTGTGGTACAAAGTGCAGTGTTCTTCCAGTGCCAAAGCTTTTTCCCATCAAAATAAACAATGCAGCATAAAGGGATTCTTTTGGAGTCTATGGGAAAATAATAAATCACTTATTAGGGTATTTTTGCACTGTCCTTTTTCCCCCGTCTTTACCATCTGCCCATTCTCTCTAAAGACCAAGGCTGCAGAAATGCAGAAGTTGCTTTATTTTGAAGGGGGAGAATCAAAGGTGTTGAGAGTGACTAGGTCATATTCCCGTCGGTCTCCTGCATTTAGACTCCTTTCAGCTTGGTTTTTGGTGACAAACTGCACAGCTGCAATGCCTTACATTTACCAGCCTGCATATATGAAGGATGTGTAATGTTAACTAAGCCCTTTCCCCTCCCTCATGGAAGACCACCCTGCCTGCAAAATCTCCGGAGGAAAGCACGGCATGTCCTGATCAGAAACTGCCTTTGTTGGCAGAAGTACAGTATGTTGCATTAACCAAAACAGCATTTTTAAAAACATTTTTGATGGTGGCTGCTTTCTATTTAAATATCCATTTTGCTTGTGTAAACGGATCTCATTCGGTCTTTACATCCCAGCATCCCAGGACTATCTGAAAGCCTTGTTAACATTTAGCATTGGAAATTGCTTCAAGCCTTGCACAAAATCCTCAAAACCTGATATGCTCAGGGCAGAAAAAAGGACTGGATTCTACTTTGCAGTTCCCTAGACAGAAATTTTCTCTGGGACAGCCTTCCTGGTGATGCAAGTTTCCCCTAATTGCTCCTCACCACTGACAGTGCAGTTTTTCTATTGGGTGGGAGGTGTTATTTATCAAAAGTCACTTTCAGAACTTGTTTTGCTTCTCTCATGTTGGTTCGTCTGTGCCTTCACTTGTTGCTGTATATTCCCCAACCGTGAATTTATCAGTTGTCTCCTAAACAGCCCTAAACAGTAATACAGCCCCCAAAACCTGCATTTACCATAACAATGAATCACATTGTGCTGGACACAGCCACTTACTGGCTGTGAAGACAAGTGTGACAACATTGTTTGGTCTCTAATTGGACATTGGAAGGGAAGACCTGGGATAATCGAGTCCAGGAGAACTGCTTTTCATTTGGGCACAACTGCATTTAGAACCCAGCCCTGGGAAACTCGTACTGGCACCACCAGCATATCTGAGGATATAACAAACATACCTGAACAGTATCCTTCTTGTTCCTGCTCAAATCATGGATATGATGCTTCTTACTTCGACTGTTCCTCTATATACATGTCAGCATAAAATACACTGTCTAGACAGGCTACTTGAACTTGCAAGGTGCAAGATTTGTAGAATGAAAACCTTGTCTCTTCAATACCATTTCAGCAGTGTAATTTCACTCAAAAAAAAAACCCAAAAAAAACCAAACCCTAGTTTACCTCTGAATAACCTCAGGGACACTTGGTTAATCTCAGGGTGTTGGGTTGAATCTTATGTTAGGAAACTAAAACTTGACTTGGTGTTTTCTGAGAAGTGATTTACCCATCAGAAAGGTCTGGGCTGTAGGGCCAGGGGTGACAATGAGCTGCTTCTTTGCTCTGTCCCAGTTTTCTCACATGTGTGGTGGTTGTAATTAAATTAATTTGCCTGTCTTGCATACTGTGACAAGTAAATTGCAGGAGGGCTTATAAAGGGGTATCACATGTGTGGTTCTAGATGTGAAGTCTCCAGGTTTAGACAGCTACTTTTGCAGGTCCCAGGAGAAGCATCTATCTTTTCCTGCCCACCATTCCTTCATTCCACAGTGCGTGGAGTAGTGGCCATCCTACGTCAAAACCTTGACTTTTTTTTAATGCATTTATCTGGGGTTTCTCCATGGTGAGAGGCAGCACTCTCATCTCTCCAATTCTTTTCTGCAAGAAATGTGAATATTGCTCTTTGCAATTGCAGATGCAGACTGAGCAGGGAGGTCAAATCCTGTAGTTTGATGACAGACAAAGAAGCATGGGAACAATATGGATGGGCAGAAATTTCAGGCCTCTGGAAGGGTTCAGGATCACCCTGAAAATTCACCTCAAGGCTGAATACTGCATTCCTGTGCATCCAGAAGTGTCTGCTTCCCTATGCGTCCCCTTATAACCTGGTGTAAATCCTCACAAAGCCAGGTGCAGATGGCATTATGGTAATAATGTTACAGGGCATTATTAGAGCACATTTTCCATCCTGATTTTAACCCATTTAAATGTCCATGGAATATTACCCCAAGTTTTCTTTCTTGTTGTGTATCATCTCCCTCTCTTCCTGTGAGATTTAGGATCAGCTTTTGGATATATACAGGAGGTAGCTGGCATCCTCACCTTACACTTCCACCAACTTTTATCTTCACTGGGAATAGAAAGACCAAAATCTGCCAAGTTTCTTGAAAATTTTCTGGACTGTGACGATTTTGGTTTTTTAATGGTGGTGGTGATTTTCAGAAAGGTTTCATATAGGTTGCCTCCATGTCTTTCTGTGTGCAAAGAGATTTTTTCCACTTTGATGAAAAAATATGTATTTATTTAATCTACTTCCTGTGGTAATGCTGTGTACCAACGAAGCTAAAGAGAGAGTCAGAGCTGGGATGACTTTCATTCACTTGGCAAATAAGAAGAATAAAACTTCATTAGCATAGCACAGTCTGTTAGGTCCCATACTTTTACCCCCCAAAGGTCTTCCTGTTTCCTTGTGCTTTGATAAAATGGCTGATACGCTGCTAAATTGCTGGGAAAGTTAGGAATACCATTAATTTAACGAGGGAGCTAGATTAAAAAATATGCCATAGAGCTGGGCTGCTGCCTTTTTAACTGCTTGGCATTCCTGATGCTGGGTCTTGGTTTCTGTAGCCATGAAGCATATGAATCAGAGAGAACCCACCCTGTGCTTTGGCA